TGGAGATTTTATATGCTGATGCTGCGAGAGGTGACATTGCAACGTACGGGTATGTATGTAATGCAGTGGCGCATGTGCTAATTAAAACCCTCCGTACTCTTGTGCTAGGTGACCTAATAACAGATGAACAAACGTTTTCACTCCTCATAGTAGGACCCACCCTGATTGTTTTCAGGGCTGACTCTCCCTTGAACAGCCCACCTTGCTCTGTCAAGGTGTTTCTGTTTCCTCACTTCTCTAATAAAGTGCGCTGCTGGCTTGCATACTCCTAAGTCTCAGTGTTAAATTCTTTTTTAATACACAAAGACAAGGACTGAGGACCCTGTTCTGGTGTCTGCCTGTAAAAAAAGCATTTGCCCCCTTGAAGCCAGGGCTGGCTCTTCAGTCCCTGTCCCCGGGGTCTCTGGCCTCAACCTTGCACCTTCTGTGCATGCCTGGCTTGGGTTAGGATAACAAGGCTTTACAAAGACGAATAAGACCCCCACATTTAATCGTCACAGCAACCTTGAGATGTGGCGTGACTTTCCCTTTCCATTTGTCAATGAGGACTTGGAAGTTCAGTGCAGTTCAATTGCCGAAGTCGTACAGCTACGAACAGGCCGAACTGGGATCAAGCCCAGATCTTTGTGGCTGTGGATCTGTGCACTCCCGCACCTCGGTGACATGCATATTAAGATGCAGATTCCTGCCCCCACCCTAGATTCTGATTTGTACTTTTGTCAGCACCTGGGCGGATCCTATGTTTTCGGATTCAATATGAAGATCGTACTTTGAGAAACGTGCCCAAAGTTCCCCTTACTCTGAAAAGAACTCCAGAGTGGAGTCACCTAACACCAGAGGTCCTCAACCAGGGGCAATTTTGCCCCCTGGAGAACATGTGGCAGTTGTTTGGAGACATTCCTCATTGTCACAACTTGTGGGGGAGGGGTGCTCCTCACATCTGGTGGGTGGAGGCCAGGGCCTGTGTTCAGCAGTCTGCAGTACCCAGGGCCCTACCCTCTCCCCCAAGTGAGGGATGATCTGGCCCCAAATGTCCACAGTTTTGAGGCTGAGAAACTTTGCGTCCAGTGAGGCAAAGCCAGGATCTCCAGGACCCGAAAGGAGACCAGGGCCTGATGCATAATAAAAAAAAAACAAATTTCATTCGTGACTTGGTTTCAAGCCGTCTAGGTTCCAGTGATTTAAGGAAATGGAGGACAGTGATCCTCAACATTATCAGGCTCAGCGCACCTTTCTTATAACAAATGTTTTAGAACAGCTTCTTTTCTATCTTGAAATGATATGCATACATAATAAAACCTATATCTATACAGATAATTTGAAAGTATCAATGTAATGTTATGATTGTAATATATCCAGGGGAAATAAAAAGATAACGGATAGTAAAATAGTATGCATTTTGATTTGTATACAGCTGCCTCAGAAGATAAAGTCATCAGAGGCCTGCGCCAATTCATAAGATCACCAAGAATGCCATAGCTATAGATGCCAACAGATACCGGTGGGCCATATAGAAGACTGGTGGTGTCAGGATTTTCTGGAACAGTGAACAACTTGTGCTAAAGTTCCATACAAAACAAAACATGACCTGATTTACGCAGTAATTTGCTTCCAGAAAAATTCAGTACTTATGAAACGTGCTAAAAAGACTTTGTTTATAAATGATGTGGTGTCTCTCCTCAGATGGTCTTAAGCAGGTCTCTGCACACTTGTGTGTCTAGCAGGACATGCAGATGTCCCTCAGGACACAAAGCTAAGGCTCCTTTGTGTTCCTGGGCTTTCTGAGCAATGAGGGACGCCCGAAGTCCCCAGCTGGACCTTGTTAATGTCTAAGGCCACTTCCCCCCTCCCTATTGGCGGGAAAGCCAAAACACACAACAAAATATCCTAAACTCCTTCTAGGGGCGTACCCTCTCTGCAAAACCACTGACTGAAGGGATTTTAGAGTCATTAATTTTGAGCTATTTTTGCCTTGTTTGCTGATTTTCATACTTTACCCCAATCTGATCCCTGCCTTTCCTCCCCCAAAGATGAAACCCCATGTTTATGAAAAGTTGAATAGAATTTTTGCCTTAAAAATTACTAAAATATACCCTGATCATCTCTGTACTGCAAGATCTTTGCAACTTCTCATTCTTTTGGATGTGTGGCCCCTGGAAGTGATCCTTTTTTCTTTATATACTCTATCTTTCCAATGATTTGGACACAGAACACTATCATTTAATGGACTAAAGTTTTTACGGACAGAAAAGCCTGCTGGAACATGTTGTGTTGGTGGCTATGCAGAACTGATGGGCCCTGCCCCCATGCCAAATTTTGAGTGCTTTGAATGTTGCTCAATTTATGCACATTGGCTAAAATTACAGAAATCCTCCTGCTTGGCCTATTGTTTCTACCCCGTCCCTATTGCACGAAGTTTTCAGGATCTCAGATGGTGGGCTCCATACCCTGCCTTTCTGGGGGCTGGAGCAGCACAGGGATCTCGGCCTTATGCCTGCAACCTGGCTGCCCAGCGACTCTGCAACACCCATAGCAGGAGGCTTACGGCCCTTACGGAGAAGGCAGGGAGCTGGCTTTCACATTTGCCGTTTTCTCCTCTCCCTCACACTTGTGGCGACACATATTTATCAGTATCTTTCTGCTGTTCAATCACAGAGCACAACCTCTGGTTGCTTTGGTGTGCTGACACATGTGTATAACCTTCACCAATTGCCATGATGTAGATATCCCCACATTGGCTGATATCAAACCACCAACTAGATATCACTGAATGTTGGAGCTGGGGGAGAGATGCATGGTAGCATATTACGTGGTATTTCCACTATTTGGATATAGTAGACATAAAGCACATCAAGAGCATAGGTAATAGTAACATTCTGAAATGATTTTCTATTTACAGAGGAGTTGCAAAGATAGTAGAGAGTATTCCCATATACCTTTCACCAACTTCCCCTATTGTTATCATCTTCTATAACCATAGTACCTTTATCAAAACTAAGACCTTAACATTGTCACCAGCACATATCCTTTTATGAGAGGGAGATGATGTGTTATACCCAACACATACACAACTGTGATCATTGCCTAGTCTCTGTAATCTACGTTCTACCTTGTAACGAAGCATCAAGCACCATGACTCACTGCACTGAACTTTATTTCCCTGAAAAAAAAAAGGCGTGGTGGTGATGGTTAGAACTTGGCTATACCTATAGGATTCTGCTGTTCTGATGAATTTCACCTGTACTGTGTCTGTCAGGACAAAAAGAAAATTAAAAAAACTTTGGGAATGGGCAGTTGGACAAGAGTTGTAAGCATGAAAATAATAAAATATTTGAGTTTTTAAAGGATTATTCTGGAAGCTATGGAAAGAACACATTGGAGCAAAAAGGCCAACTAGAAGAAACAATTGTAACAGTCCAGGCAGGGATTAATGAAAGTCAGAACTAAGGCAATTGCAGTGGGGATAGAGAAGTCAAGATGGTTGCAAGAGATGCCAAAGAGGTAAGAGTGTACAAGACTTAGGAGCTAATTGGCAGCTCAGAGTTTCTCACTTGAAGGGCACGCTGGAGAGGGTGCAGGTGTCGAGTACAGCTTCTAATACGCTGCTAGAAGGGCTTGTGGCATCACTAGAAAGCATGAGTGGATCAAGTTCATCCACAGAAACTTTTCTTTGCACATCTTGGACTATGGGATCACTTTGTTGAGTTGAATTTCATACACTAAAATTCCTTATCTTTCCCTCTATGATGTAATCTGGAGAGCAAACAGAGATGGAAGACTGAGGTCAACAAGCTTCTTGCAAAGCATGAGTTCTCCCCTCCCCTACTCCCGTTGACCCTGCGAGTACAAAAGAAGAGGCAGGACCAGCTCACACCCCTTTGGCTGCTCTTTCCATAGAGGACAACAAGGCAGGGCTCAGTGCTGTTTTCCTGGTAGACACAGTCTGTGATGTGCCTCCACGTCGGCCTGAACTGGCTTGTAATGGGTAGCTGCTCACTTGGGTGTCATCTGACACAGGATGTGATCATCAGCTGTCTGTATGAATCAGGGCCAGCTGCTGGGCCGTCTGCTCTGTGCGGGGGTACAGCCTCCCCATCTGTTCCTGGGGCCTCCCCATTTATCTCTTCTTTGCTTGAGCCTCCAGCCATGGCAGATGGCTCTTTCTCAGGATTACAGATCATTTTTCTCTGAGTGTCTCAGCCCCAATTTGTGCTTACATTTTCAACTATCCCATCACTATCATCACCGTAGGCATTTAGAGAGATGAATTCATACCATGTATGCATATATATGTATGCGCGTGGATGTAATGGCCAGTGTGCCCACACGTGCGTAACTTCATTCTTTTTAACTTTCACACACAACAACCCAGGCTCATAAAGAGTATTTCTACAATACTCTAGAACGCAAGTTGGATTCCCTACAATGGCTCTGGGTAAAAACATGACAGGGTCCCCAACAAGTTAAGGGTTATCTCCAAAACCCCCATCACACTTATAAGTACTTTGAAACCATGAAAATGGAAAGATACCATCCCCAACAGTCTCGTCTGTATCTTAGTGCTCTGGTCAAGTAGCTTCGCTTTTGGCTCTCAGAACCTGTCTTGGCAATTCATTATAATACTCAAGTTTACATGATGTGGGATGTTTGGGAGTGGTTGGGAGAGACTCACAGACTATGCATGGCAGCTGTAGCCCTAAGCCAGGGGCTATTTGTACCAGCAAACCGGGAAAAGGCTTCTGAGCAATGCCTTTTACCACACCTGCTACTGTGGTCATCTTCATGGGTGAAAACGTAGAATTTACACAAAGCTCCTCTTCTTTGAGGGGATGTTTCAAAGCAATACTAGTTTTCATTTACTGTTTTTATTTCTAATTATCAGCATTCTTTTTTCAGTGATAGTGGTTTCTCCTAAGACTTGATATCTAAAATAGTCCATTTTATATTGCTTAGCAACATTTATGCTGCATATGGCTCATAAAATATTACTTCTATTGCAGTGGTTCTCGACTGGGGTTGATTCTGGCCTCCAGAGGACATCTACAAACATCTGGAGACATGTTGGCTGTCACACTTGAGAGGAGGGGGCAGTGTTACCTGCATCTAGTAGGTGGAGGAAGGGATGCTGTTATATCTCCTCCAGTGCACAGACAGCAAATGTGTCCCCCACAACAGCAAATGTCAACAGTGCCAAGGTCAAGAAGCCCAGCTCTACTAATCGTGCATTGATTGTACCATTGCCGTGCTGATGAGTGACCCTGATGAGCCCCTGCTCCTTGAAATGGAGAGCCTGAGACTGTGGAATTCCAGGTGGGGGCATCCCTCTTGCTGAGTCTTTTGACTTGGGTGAAGGCTCCCTCCAGAAACCAAATATTGTTACCTTTATTCGGGCTCCAGCCAGAATAATTCTGGGGGACAGCCCGAATTTAGGGGCTGGCATAAGGCAATGGGGTTTCAGAGACTCGACCCTCTCAAATAATCACTATAAACTCTTGTTTGAGTCTTGAGCATACTGAAACCATCACCCTCTATCCTGGTTATTTTGCCAGATATGGAAACATTTAGAAAATGAGAAACGATGTTTCTAAGCTATATTAATTTATATTTTGTCTAGAGTTTGCTCTGACGCATTTCTTAGCATACTGAAAGCCACATTAGACATGTTTTACACCTTTAAATATCAAGGGTTTAAATTTTGAAATAATTCACTTTTTCTGAAATCTTGACCTTCTAAGGCTGATATCTGGGCCAATATGAATAAAGATTTTATAATAACATTTTGGATGATGTCACTTTCTTACTCCACCACAAAATAATGAGCTGCGTGGAACTGTAATGCTTCTTCCTCCGCTGGGTCATGGGTGAGCGATGCTTTCAAGCTGCTATCACTTTTTCCAGATAGTTTCACTCATTCTTGCTCCTAATCAATCTACAGTATTATGTAGCAACCAAATAAACAGTCTCCTAAAGAAAGCGTCCTCTCCTTGGATGTTCCAGAAAACTCTGCTGACTCATTTGCAGTTGGACTTGAAGAATTTTTCAGATACATAAGCCAAAGGAGCCGCACTCTCTTTGAGTGACTCCCCTGCTCCCTGACCCTACCAAACAGGGGAGGCTCACCAGAAGCTTTGAATTGGGTTTTTGGTATCTGGGCAAGTGAGGGGAGTTTAGATGACTTTGGGGACCACTTCCAAAGAATATAATCTGTAAGTTAAAGACTCCCTTACTATGTTTGTTTTTTCCTGGAATCCCTTTAAATGTGTATCAAGTGACCTATTATGCTCAGGTCCTGGTCTCACAGGGACTGGGTTGCGGCCACTTTGGTTGGCCCTTTCTCACTGGTGGTTCTTGTGGAGAGTCTATCTAGATGATCTGACTCACCAGCAAGGAGAGATTTGGAGGCTCCTCAGCTGGGTGAAAGCACGGTTGGAGATCAGAGTCCCGGCATCCCACAGTAACAGACAGAGCAGTGGTAGCAGCAACACTAAGGGAGTCAAAACTACACATACACACAAAGAATCCAAATAACTCAATTTACGGAACCTTTCTGATGAAATCTTGCTAATTGCAATTGAAATGCAAGTATTTCCAACTGAATTCAATGGAAGTGACATCTTTCTATTTTCATCATTCTAGATATGATGGTTTTGACTTATATGAGGCCAGGTATTAGAACATGGCCTAGCTTGTGCTTATATTTTATGCTGCCTTACCTTATTCAAATCTACCCCATGTTGGTATGGCTTCCGTATATGTATAAGTGCCTAGTTATTAAAATCATGCCTAGAAGAGTAAATCAAAGTTAGTCTTCACCTTCTTGCCAATGGCATTTCCTTGATAGGAAATTCCATCCTTCAAAAGTCATGTCTTTCCAGAGTTCAGTGGTGATGGTTTATTTAGTGTTCCTGGACATAGTGTGAGGATGCCAGTCAATCAACATGGGATGCATGGAGTAAGCATAGGGAATAGGGAAGCCTGAGGTCCAGTATGATACCTACTTTTATCTGGGCAAATCACTGGGCCTCAGCTTCCCCATCTGTGAAATGAGGGTTTAGAATGTTTAGTTCTCAAGTTACTTTCAGTTTTTGCATTCTCATGGTACATTTTCTGAGGAATATTTACTAGGTATAGTCTCTATAGAATATGCAAAGCTTTCTTAGACATAACATCCACCTTTAGATGCTTCAAATCTCATTGAAAAAAAAAGTATTTCAACTAAAAAAAAAAGCTATTGTATGGCACATCAAGTGGTGGTGAGAGGCAGATAATACATGCTCTGTCCTCAAACCTGAAGGAGCCTACATTTTGGCTGCTATTTGGTGGGAAATGTGTACAGAGGAACATGGCGAAGACTTGTCCCAAGTGTTAATTCTAACTGAAATCGATTCATTCCCAGTACTGGGGTTTGAACACAAACACAAGAGTAAGGGGCTTCACAGTCTAAATGCTCAAGGGGGTATTGCCATATATGGCTACAATGTAGTGCAGTATGGTCTAGACTCCAAGGGGACTTCGAAACTGTGAGGGATGTTGCCTGACTTGCACTGGTCAGGAAAGCCTTCCCAAAGAGGTAACAATAGAAATGGGCCTGGATGTTTTGGAAGGAAGTCATTCCAGTGAAAGTCAATATGATAACAATTTTAATGAATGTTTTCCATACATGACTTTATGGAGTTCAGTAATCTATAGTTTAAGAAAATATGATTTCAATGTCCAGCCAATGCATTATCAGTCATATTTCCATGGAAGCACTGTATTCAAATTGGGAACTTTTAGTTCAAAGGAGCAATGTAGAACTTGGAGAGAGTCCAGAGAAAAGCAATCAAAGCCATTAAGACTTAGAAGGATGGGAGTATAGAAAAAATGGTAAGTGAAATGAAGAAAAGAAGGCTGAGGGAGAAATTACACTTTAAGTATGCATGTTGCTATTATATAGATGGTAGTTGACATTTGTTCTCTGGGTGCATCTAGAATGAGCAAAGTAGGGGTAAGCAAAAATGGGAGCAGTGGGATTTAAAAGAGATGTGCAGGCAAAGCCCTGACAAGATCAGTGAAGTGCTGGGAAATTAAAAGTGCAGATTATAGGATCTGTGTGGATTTTCTTTACAGGTGTATTTTACATTGATTTCAAAAGACAGGAGATAGGCAAGGCAAAATATTATTGTTTCATATGTATTCTATATGAATTCTTCCATTACTCAGGGCTGACCCTTTGTCTACATCTACCAAGGGATCCCAGGCAAGGATACACTTGCAGAATTTAGATTTGCATGACTAGGGCTTCTAGCTTTGGCCTGGGGATGGTAGACACTCTGCATGTGCTTGAAGGATGGAGATATGGACAGAGAGGCCTTTTCTGTCCCTATGAATGTTGGAGGACAGAAAAACTTGCACTGAGTTTTTAAAATTTCTGACTCTCTAGCAGGTGATCATGATGGAGGTCTATTGACATTGGTCCAAAAAATGGAGATTGAGCCTGGAATTAGATCACAGAATGTTAGACTTGGAAGGGATCTAGTCTAGTGCTTCGTCAAGTGTGTTTGACAAACAATTAGAGTGGGGATATTATGAGTGTTCCACTAAGAAAAGGAAGAATTCTGTGGTTATGTAAGTTCATATAATGCTGAGTTCAAAAGTTAAACAGATTCATTTACTGCAGGGATTCCCAGAGGCTTGATTCTTCTAGAAGGGCAGTGGTGCAACTCATCAGATCGTTACTGCATGGGATATACTTTGAGACAAAAGGAATGATCTGGAGCAACTTCCGCCTCTATCTTTTAACAGTAACATCTGAAGTTCAGAGACGGAAAGAGAGTTACCTGATGTCATATACAGACAGAAACAGGTGGAGGAGTAGAAACAAGACTTCCAACATTTTGGAGAATGCCCTTTTTGGAGGCCCACTCTGTTATAGCTATATACCCATGTTAGTCAAATAGTTACCATGTCCAGTGTACATGGGGGACAAACCAATGTGTACAGTTGGTATATATCAGTGGAGCAACATTGATAACCAGAGTCAAAGGGATCAATTGCCAACTGCCGTGAGGACATAATGTGATACTGACCAATGAGAAAGTTGTGGTTAGAATGGATCTTGTAACCATTATACATGCAGACAGACTTAGGTCAACATTTAACATGCTCTGTATTATAATGCAACCCAAAGTTCTGTGTGGGAAGGCTTTCCTGACCAACACAACTCAAGCAACATCCTCCACAGTTTTAAGTCCCCTTGAGGTTTAGACCATACTGCACTGCATTGTAGCCATATATGGCAATACCCCCTTGAAAAGTGTTTAGACTGTGAAGCCCCTTACTCTTGTGTTTGTGTTAGAGCCCCAGTACTAGGAATGAATTGATATCAGTTAGAATGAACTCTTGGGACGAGTCTTCGCCATATTCCTCTGTACGCATTTCCCACCAAATAGCAGCCAAAATGTAGGCCCTTTCAGGTTTGAGGACAGAGCACTTATATTATCTGCTGACTTCACTCATTCTAGGTTCACCCAGAGAACAAATGTCAGCTACCACCCATATAAATGCTGTCCTAGGAATCCAATACATAGTTTATATGTATGTACATACACATTCACCACGAGTATGGGATAAAGGGTAGAAAAAGAGAATGCATTGCAGATGGGTGTTGGGAGTCAAGTTAACTCCTGGGTGATGGCACCAATTAGGTTGTTTCTAAAAAGGTGGTTCTTTATGATCTGTATCTATGTCTGTATCTACCTGTGTGCCACTTAACCCTAAGAAAGAGAAAGCATTGACCTATGTATGTACCTGAGTAACAGCCATAGGTCATTATATAAGCATAAACTCCCTACTGTAATCTGCATTTTTGATTATTTAATACAAAATGGAATTAATTTAATTTTGAATAAAAGATACAAAGTAGTAAAAAGAACTGGAATCAAATAACTGCTGTTTTTTTAAAAAATACATATATTCAAGAGTTCTTTAGGGTCTTTGTTTTGTAGTTTTTCAAAGCCTGTTATATCTGTGCCGTTGGGAGAAGCTGACGCCTGCTGTCTGTGGCTCGGGTTGCAGAGGCAGCCTATTCTGCGGGTATATTTTAGCTGTTTTTATGCTGAGATGAATAGGATATTTGAAGTGAAGGGAGAACTGGTAGTTCCTGTTGGAATAAAAGGATCATAAATCTGTTCATGCCAAACTGTGAACACAGTTAGACAATGCACTGAAGGCAAATTTTATTTGGTAATTACTGTCTCTGTTCAGAGACTTTGCCAATGCTAACTGATGAGAAAGCTCCCAGAACAAAATAGTGAAAGGCTACAGCTCCCCCATTAGCCTAAACCGCATTTGAATTATTCTTGCTTTTCCAACATTCTTGCTTTCTTTTTTAAGGAAAGAGTTAATGTACTTTTTCATTTGTGTATTTAAGTTCAAGGGGGATGGGAAAGGATCTTGGATCTTTATATCCCATCTTCCTAACTTGGACTAAAAGGGGCCTTCTACGTGAGACCAACAGACTTTCCCACTTGAGGGCTATGCGTTCATGGCTACTTCATAAAAGAGTCAGAGTCAGTAAGCCCAATGTGTAGAGAATCTCCTGAGGCCTGGAGGACTGAATGAGCATGGTAAATGTTTTCCCACTGAAAGCGAATACATACAATGCCCAGATTAGCCAATACTGTTTGTTTGGGGGCTTCTTAAGTCTCTGTTATCATACTGTTATCAGCACTGACATTGGCCCTTGCAGTAATGGCCTTGG